AAGAAATGGGGTTCGGCCGAACAAATACGGTCGTCGATCTCGAAGAGCGGTCGCCAACTTGGAAATCAGGTCGCCGACTCCACCAAACCCAGTCAAGCAAGCTCATCGACAAACAGAACATTCAAACCTCCCAAAGTTCTCCCCGAACATCATCCAGATCCCAACCTCTGCCTTGTCTCCTCATTGTTCCTTTCTATCGCTTCAATCTCGCTCTCTTGCTCTCTCTCACAATCTGTCTTGGTAGATCGCGAAACATGCGCGTTGGAGCCGGCTCTCTTCTCCTTCCTCTCTTGTTCATCTCTCTTTATCTGTGTGCGTCTCCTTGTCCGTAGTCCCTGTCTGTTTGTCTGTGTCTTTCTCGCTCTCTCGCTCTCTCTCTGTCTCTCTCTCTCTCTCCCTCTCCGTCTGTTCTGTGTTTGCTTGATCAGTGTCTGGTGATCGCTTGCAGATTGCTCTCGCACTTGCTATGCTCAGCGATAGCAAGCTTGCATGAGGTTGAAACGAGACTGCACCATGTTTGAGCGGCTACACCCAAGACGAGCATGAATACGGTAGTGGCCTTCTCCCTTGAAAGAGCAGGTCGGGGGAAGAACAACCGGCGGTATTGAAACAACTTATGAACCACGGGGTCAAAACTACCTCAGTCATTTCTCGAGATCTCTGTATGCATATGTGTATGTAGGATAAATTGAGCTTTGGTATGTAGGTATGTTTGTATTTATGCCTTCATGTATGTATGTACACGTGCACATGCCAATCCTTGCATGTTTCTAGGCATGCTGTTGCATGCGGTTTGACTTACGATGCACAGGATGACGCTCCGTTTGAGAGCATCCTTTCCGCTGACACACCCAGCGATCTGAGGAGATCCTGAACGAACACAGCTGAAACTCTTCAGAGCCTGGGAGGTGACACTCTTTAATGAGCACTGCCGCTTAGGTAGGCATGATCACTTCCTCGGTGTGCGAGGTTGTCCGGTTTGAAGTGTGGGCGGTTAAGGCCGTAGAAGATCCGTGTCAGGATTTAGGGTTGGAGGCCGATTCCCTTGAGTTTCATGGCCTTTTTACATACAACAAGACCCCCCAAAAAATAGTATTTAGATCCCTACATTATAGCGTTCAAGATCGGCTAAGATGGAAAATCTCGAGTTCCGGGGTCGCTCAGTGAACTCTGGATAGCTCTGCCGGCGCAGGATGGCGAAACCGCTAGCTGTGCCGGTGTCTGTCCCTAAGGGTCCAAGTAGTCCTTATTTATGGTGTTTTGGGTACCCAAAAAGGCCCCAAAGTCTTCAACAAATGTGTACTTGGACCCTTAGGGTGTGCTTTTTTTCTGCTCTTCAGCGACGCGCTGGCCGTCTGCGCTGCATCTGCAGCTGCGAACTACGCACTCAAGGCGACAAAATCTGCCTTAGATGCTTCCAATAGCTAGACAGGACAACCATAACCCGACATCTATAGCCAACTCTTTCTAACAAGCCTACGAGCCCAGCTCCATGGAAGCCTGCAAGACAGCAAGGCGTCCTTGCCTGTTATGTCGTGAGCCGGTTACCTTTAGGGTTTAGGGTTATGGTTCTTGTACTCCGTAAGACCAAGATGTCTAATTCGAGTTGATCGGTTGAGGGCTGCACCTGCACAGTCACATGTAGTTCTTTACAAGTGTGAATGTACGTTTTCCAACATACATAAAGCAAGATTGCGACACATGCAAGCACGCACGCACACACACAAAGAATTATAGCGCATTTACGTGTAGATATGGATGTAGGTTATAGATCCGAGAGATAAGTACCCTGAAGCCGAAAGCCAACATCCGCGCAGCCCAATATTGAAATTGGCACATGCCAAACCTGAACGCCCTGTTACCTGCATCTTGGGTCGTACATAAACCGAAAATGTTCGCATGTGTGTGTGTGTGTGTGTGCACGTGTACGTGTACGTGTACGTGTACGTGTACGTGTACGTGTATGTGTACGTGTGTGTGTGTGTGTGCGCGTGCGTTTGCGCACATGCTTGTATACACAATATGCGCACACACACACACATACATATATACATATATACGTATATATATATATATATGTATATATATATACATATTATATAATATATATATATATATATAATATATATATATATATGTACATACATACAGGGTAATCGGCTTCTGGCTGATTCATCTCATCTCTTAATTCGGAGACGGGCCCGTACTTGCACCGGGCGGTACCAACCCTCTACTCGGAAGCATCGGAGCTTGGCACTAAAGTTGCGGGGTAGGGTTGGTGCTTGATGATCTGCAACTCGTTACAACCCCTACCCCCATTCCAAAATCCCACCACACAAGAGCTTAAGTTTCTAAACCCCTGAACTCTCAAATAAACCCTAAAGCCACCACCCCCGACACCCCCAACCCCGGCGCCAAAAGGCCCACCACCCCCGATCTCTAAACTGAATTCTCGCAGAGAGTTCCAGCTGAGCTCAGACTCGTGGGTCGAGTTGAGGATGGGTTTTGGGTTTTGGGGTGTTGCTCCTGTGGCTTTCTCTTGAGGCCTGGTACCTGGCTTGCTTTTGAAATATCATGACGCAGCCCTCCAAAGGCTTGCATCTGTGGGCGTAAGTGGGCTTCACCAGCAGTCGTTGACAGAATGCCCTCATTCATTTGATGCCTTTTCCGGTTCAAGCTGGGTTTGGGGCTGTTTACCTTGCTGTCTTATTGCTCTTCGTCCAGCCGTTCACTGTCAAAGACACCTGACTTCACGTGCATAGCCACCAGTAGAATTATCCCTTTCGCCTGGTTCACATACAGTAACACAGTACTCAAAATTCGGTACTCGGGGGACCCTCCTGAAGTCATTTCTGCCCGAGTCACATTCAGGATTTCTGATTACTTCTGATGCCCTTTTCAAGAGCACAGCCTTACGCTAAGTCCGACTCGATGCCCTTATCTCCGTTGCCCTGGATGCACAGCACGCGCCAGAGTCCACCCTCAAGGGGTGCTGTGTCAGAGGAGTTTTCTTAGCCGCCCAGCCCCAGTCTTCATTCCTCCTCTTGTATAAACCCTAAGCCCTAAACCCAAACCTGAAACCCTAAGCCCTAAACTTAATTCCGAAAGGCTGAGCCCTAAGGGACTAGGACCCTTCGGCTCTTCTATATATATATATATATCTATATATATATATATATTTTTTTTTTTGAAGAGTCACAATGTCAGTGACATCACGATTCGTAGCTGGAGAGCTTCGAGGGTTTAGGGTTTAGGGTATAGCAAAGAGCCTGGGTTCAAAAAAAGAGTCTAGGGTATACTCTAGGGTTTAGGGTTTAGGGTTTCGCGGTTCGGGTTCGTCTGAAGAGCCTTGTTTCTGATCGAGGTTTGATCTCAGGGTTCAAGAGTTTCGGACTCAGTGTTAAGGGTTTTCAACTCCCTAGAAGCGCAGTGTGGGCTTCGTAGTAGGTTGCGGTGAGTTTTGAACAGTACACAAACCCGGCAAGCGCGAGGCTTGAAGCCCCAACCCTTCACATCGAATGACTACTGCTTCCACCCCACACTCACTGAACCCTAAGCCCCTATAGCGCTAAACCTGAAGCCCCAAGCCCAAGATCAACCCAATGAGTTTGGAATCAAGAACCCGCCCCGAAGCGGGGCTGGTGCACTCGCCGGCAAACAGAGTAAGACGGATGCTGCCAGCGGTTGTTCCCATCCGCGAGCTTACTGTATGAAGCTGTTTAGAGTTTACGGTTTAGGGTCTACCCATAGGCCCCATAGTAGTTTCTTTTTGGGGTTCACATTTACAATCAAAAAAGAAAGACTGGCACCGGACCTAAGGTCGAACCCGAAATCCTGATCCTTACCCTGGGGCTCCGGCTACCCAAATAGTAGGTGTTTAGGATTTATAGGGTTTATAGGGTTTAGGGTTTATAGGGTTTAGTGTTTAGGGTTTAGGGTTTCTTATACGGTTTAGGGTTTGAGACTGGGTTCAAAAAATAGGTTACTATTGCCATAGACTGTGGTAACCCACTAGCCCATCATCTGGGTAGACGGAGCCGCAGTTTTCAGCTGTTGGAGCTGGATGGTTATTTCAGACAACAAAACTCGCATGGGAATTTTGCCTTGCGGAAGGGGCAGAACTCGGTAGCTGCAAGCAAGCGCCTTTCCCCAGCCCGTGTATGCTTTGAGAAAGGGCCGAGTAAGCGTGGAAACTGATTTCCTACGTGCCGGGTAGGCCCTATCCAAGCAGATGTTGTCACATGAGCCTAAACCCTAAACCCTAAGAATCTCCCAGTCACACCCTGGGTACCGTAGAGAGCTTGAGTTGGGAACAGCCACTGCTTGCCAAAGGCATTGGTCGAAGGCCGTCGAAGCTTTAATCAACAAATGACTGTGGGGTTCGGGTTTGTAGGGTTTAGGGTTTAAGGTTTTGGGCTTAGGAGGCTTCTTGCAATGTGGCCTTTTCCAGGGTGTCTATCAAAAAACGTTCTATATATGCATATATATATATATAGTAGTGCTAGGGGCTTACGGATTCAGGGATTTGCTTTGAGTTTGAGGGATTTGTGGATGCACGGGATTTTGAGGTTCGGGGTTCAGCAAATTAAGGAGTTTTCGTGATGTTGCGCATGTAGCAGAAGCCGCAGCAGGAACAGCAGATATCCGCTAATTAGTAGGCGTCAGCTCTTTTCCGTGGGCGGGCATGTAGACTATATAGAGACTTTGGACCATGGTTTGGGAACATGAATTTTGAGTTCATGGTTTTGTCTGTAGGAGGGGTAGCCCACATTGAAGGATTACGTAGCGGCCGTCTGTTGTTTCGGGGAAGCGGGGCTGTCGTTTTCCCGAAGCCGTCTAGTGATGAAGCGTTACTAGTTGGACCTAGACAATCCCAATGACAGTGTGAACATTGGATAGAAAGGTTCAAGTCAAACCTGCAGCCGTAAGGCCCTAGTGCTCGAGAACAGGATGCATGACTGTGGGCAATGAACTTCGACATGACCATCCATGAATTCATGTTAGCCGTTGTCCAGGCTGTCACCCCGACTGAAGGGACTCGCTTTAGCTCTTCCCACAAAGGCCAGACATTGACTGACCTTATACCAAGCTACTAGTCAGGGATACTTTCGGGTGACAAAGTCCTTTGATGTCGCGCCTCCGTTGTCAAGCCAATGACAAATACCTCTTGGGTGTGCGCCTCGAACTGCACTTAACATAGGGGCCTTGATAATTAGAAAACGGCTTGGGGGTGTCTTGTACTAGAAGTATAAAGAGGAACCCCAAAATTTGGCCCAAAATAGTATTGCTAATTATTATGGGCCCTAGATTAACTAGGATCTACAGCTGAAGCCCAAAACCTGCACCCTGCAGAAGTTTCCCAGTCCGTCCTTTGAACCTTCAAACCTGAGAAGAAGTCGCAGATGTTTCCTGCCGGATCTGAAAAATGGCTTCAGGGCTGTTGGACCTCGGATCTGTAAAACTTCGGGTTGGGGTTTAGTCGGCTGTATTATTGCTTGAGCTCCTGCAGACAGTCGACTCGACATGGCAGTCGACCATGCATCTTTGTTCTTCCAAGGATAACAATTGAAACCAAAGGTTGTTTGTTCACCGAAGTTCATTGCCGCTTTCCACAAGTTCGCCAGTTTGCCCGATCTGGACACATCTGGACGTCAAAGAGCCTTAAACCCTCAAGCCTCAAGCTGTTGAAGTGTTAGTTTGGTGCCCCTGACGGCAAAGCATCTTACCACACAGGCCTCCTCAGGTGTCAGCTCATGGTCTTTATCTTCCGGCCATGTTGCAAGGAATGTTGATGACACCGGTATTTGGGGATATCAAATTTGCCCATGTGATGAACCCATGATGATGTCTCAAGCGAGCGTCAGTTGCGCAGAGCATTCTGCTCTGCAGCATCTTGCTATGTGCTATGGTGCCCGTTTAAAGGTGATACCCGAGTCTCCTTCAAAACGATCGCGAGTAGCCTGTGGAATCTGCTGAAGGCCCGGAAGACATCGCATCTTAGCGTCCAAGCCCTAGCTCCCAACACCCTATGATCCTTAAACCCTACTCCGTACGGCTCAAAGGTTTCGAGAAGCCTTATATAGCATCGTCTTTAGGCCCAAGCATCCTTTACATATGAGCCCTTGGAGCTCATCCCTGATCCGAGGAGGAGCGACAGCTGTGTCAATGGTGGATGGGTAGGCTCGCAGGGTTTAGGGTTCAGTAGTGTTTCAGATGAGCACGGTATGGAAGCGCAGTCGTGAGAGCTGAACTTCTGTAGGCTCGGACATTCAGGCGATTGCACAAGTCCTGATGCAAAAAGTAGTGTTTCAGATGTCGCTGGTGCAGTAGTTGCTACCCTTTTTCAGCCCGACATGCTAACAATTGTGAGCTACCAAGATTGTCATCCGACACGTCGGGTATTGAATATAGAAGGAGTCCTGCAACCAGCGTGGTGATCCAATGGCGTCCTGGTGCCTAACCCCATCTACACCCCCTAATCTTTAAAGCCCCAAGCCCCCTTTAACCCTTACATCCGAACATGTGGCTTTAAGGTTTTCGAGTTTAAGGGTTTAGGGCTTCTAAACCCTCAAACCCTATAAACCCTAAACTCTAAACCCAAACCCTAAAAAAAAACAAACAAACCCTCACACCCTAAACTGCTACGTTTGAGTATTACCTGGCTCTTGGGGCTCTGCTCCTGCAACTCTCGTCCGATCTTGTGGTCGGCCTTTTGCCCTGAACCAGAAATGGGTTTAGGGTTTGAGGTTTTAGGGTTTTAGGGTTTAGGAAAAGGGTTTAGGGTTTGAGGGTTTGAGGGTTTAGGGTTCAGGGATT